GGGGGACCCCGGGTGCACCTCCCCAGACCCAGGAGGGACCAGTTGTGCACTCCCTGGTGGACCTGGAAATGGACCAGACAGCAAGTGCTTCTGGGCCACTTCGGGTCTCCTGCTAAGCGTGCTGAGGAGCCCTTTGTGCTCCTGTATGACGCTCCATCGGCCTCATCATCTCAGCGTTCACGAGCTGCCTGGTACCTTGAGGTATGTAGAAAAAACATTTAAAGCTGTGTCAGAGGGTGGTGGTTGATGGAAGCCAGTCATTGTGGTGCCCTGTGACCAGTGGTGTCCCTCAAGGCTCTGTCCTTGGACCTATATTATTCAACATCTTTATTAATGATGCGGACATTGGAGTCAGAAGCGGACTGGCCAAGTTCGCCGATGACACCGAACTCTGGGGTAAAGCATCCACACCTGAGGACAGGAGGGCGATCCAGGCTGACCTTGACAGGCTCAAAAAATGGGTGGATGAGAACCTGATGGTGTTTAACACTGAAAAATGCAAGGTTCTCCACCTTGGGAAGAAAAACCCGCAACATGCTTATAGATTTGGCAGTGCTACGCTGGCTAGCACTACAGACGAAAGGGACTTGGAGGTCATGATTGACCACAAGTTGAATGTGAGCCTTCAATGTGATGCTGCTGCTAGTAAAGTGAGCAAAACGCTGGCTTGCATCCATAGATGCTTCTCAAGCAAATGTCATTTTCCCGTTGTACTCGGCCGTGGTGAGGCCGCAGCTGGAGTACTGTGTCCAGTTTTGGGCTCCACAATTCAAAACGGATGTGGAGAAACTTGAAAGAGTCCAGGGAATAGCCAAGCTCATGATCAGAAGTCAGGAAAACAGACCTTATGATGAGAGGCTGAGAGCTATGGGACTCTTCAACCTGGAAAAGCACAGACTCGGGGTTGATCTGATGGCTGCCTATAAGTTTATAAGGGGTGCTCGCCAGGATCTGGGGGAACTTTTGATCACCAGAGCACCCCAAGGGATGACAAGGTTGAACGGTCATAAACTTCTCCAAGACCATTTCAGGCTGGACATAAGGAAGAACTTCTTTACTGTCTGAGCCCCCAAGGGTTGTAATAGCCTGCCACCAGAGGTGGTTCAAGCACCTAGTTTGAACGCCTTCAAGAGAAATTTGGATGTTTATCTTGCTGGGATCCTGTGATCCCTGCTTACTTCCTGTCCACGGTAGGGGACTGGACTCGGTGATCTTCCGAGGTCCCTTCCAGCCCTAATGTCTATGAAATCTATGTCTGAAGCATCAAATCTCTCTGAATTGATTTGGAGGGTTCCGATTCGGTTTGGAGAGATTAAAGGGTCTGCTAATTCAATTCAGATTCAGAGATTCTGCCACCAGATCAGGCCGAATCAAATCGGTGACCAACGCTTCACACAGCCCTACCTTTTAGCTGTTGTGTTGTTTCCACCTCACCACCCCTCCCCAACTTAGGTCCCTCAGCCCTCTTGGGTGCTGGCTGCTACTACAGGCCTAGTCAGTTTCACCTATAGAAAGTATTGTCAGTTACAGGAACATCACTTTCACTCTGGGGGGCTGGAAATGGATGCCTACGATCTCCTTGCTCTCTAGTCCTTGGCTTAGCAGCACTGGGAGGTGCTGTCCCTACTGTCCTACTTAAGACTGAGTCATGATCTGCCTAGCCATGCTTTGCATCCTCTTCCAGCTCAAGTGCCGGATGACAGGCACTAGAATGACATTACAAGGCTCTCCTAAAGATGTATTACTTGCTCTGCACCATTGACAGCACCTTCTTGGAGAATGACACCATAGAGGATGGCCTTCTGTGGGTTTTGCCTGCAAACCATGTACAGTAAAAGCTGTGTTATCCGGCATCCATGGGGAATGGGTAGTGCCAGTTAATCAAATATGCTGGTTACCTGAGAGGCGTCTTTGCCTGTTCGAGTTGCCCTTCCTGCCCCGTCCAGAGCACCAGGGCTTTCACTTCCTGGTGTCAGTGTGTCAGGGGACAGGGAGAGGAGCCCTGCACAGGCGGTTTTGCCCCGGGCCGTGGTCCAAAGTTGGCAAGTGGGACTTGGTGAAACCAGAAGTGCCATGGTGGGCCTTCCAGTTTCTCTTTTGCCACATCGATCGGCATGCCGATTAATAGAGCATGCTGGTTAATAAAGTGCCGGATAACACAGCTTTTACTGTGTTGGAGATAAGCAGCAAGTGGTGGGAACGCATTGTTCTGGAGACCTGGAACAACAAGCCTCGGAGACAAAACTTTAGGGTGAACTGTAGCACCTTTGTAAAGATCTTTGCCAAGCTGGCCCCAACACTCAAGAGCCAAGCCACCAACATAAGGATAACCTCACCATAGAGAAATGTGTAACCATCACTATCAAGAAGCTAGCAACCCATAGAAGCCTGCAGTTTCTGGCTAACAATTTTGGCATGGGCAAGTCCACAGCAGGATAATCTGTCCAGGAGGTATGCTGCACTTGTGGATGTTTTCTTTGCCCCACCAACCTGTAGCAGGATATTGCTGGATTTACCTGCATGGGCTTTCTGAACTACATCAGGGCCATCAGTGGCACCTGCATCACCATCCTGCCCCTTGCAGCTTGGAGTATATCAACTGAAAGAGCTACTTTTCTACTGTTACTACAGGGCATTGTAGACCAGCAGGGACAGTTTACTTATGTGACCACTAGACAATTGAACAAGGTTCATGGCACCATGATCTTTAGGAACTTTAGCCTGGTGTCCCTTACAATGGAGGAGTTACCACCATTGAGATGGAAAGAATAACTATTCCCCATGTCACCCTTTCCCCCTGCTACTTGGGGACTTGGTGTATGTCTTCTCCCATGGCTCATGAAGCCTTACACTGGGATGCCAAGAAGGAACTGCTCAGTTACTATCCATGTAATTAGGACCTCCACATCTACTACTGTGGGAGCTCCCATCTCAGTAGATGTTGACCCTGAAATGTCAGCAAGAAAATAAGTGTCCTTTGTTAAACTTGTGCAAATGTGAAAATAAACTGATGAACTCCCTAGGGTATTTCCATGTGTCACCTTTTGAGCCTCTTCACTTTTGCTTGTGCATCCTAAAACGCTTAAGATGGTTCTTCCCTGCCTCATCCTGGCAGCCTAGTGTAGAGTCCCCAAGCTCCATGGCATGTTAGGACCCTCTTTCCCAAAATCATTGGGCATGACTAATCACCATCTGGAAGCCTCCCCATCCCCTAGACTAGTACTGAAACCTCAAAACCTTTGTTTTGAAACCTCCATCAATGGTTTCAAAACAAAGATGCCCTTGACTCAACTTCCCACACACCAAAACCATGTCTCCCCCCAGGTGGTGTGTTTAGGGTTCCCCATATCCTCTACAATTACAATGTAGGACCTGCATGGGCAGCCTAATGATGTTGGAGGTATCTGTGTGTGCATGCCAGTGGTCCTGTCAACATGCTGTAGTAAGTAACAGGTTTATTTGTGTCTTCTGGCAGCTGAGTTATGGGCTTTAGAAGGAAGAGGGCTGGCTTGTCATGGGCAGCTGTGAAGTGATGCTTTTCAGTAGTGGTGAGATGGGGAATGTTCAGC